ACCATGTCCAGAGAAGCAGTAATACCAAAGATGGAGGCAGAGACAATGATGTGGAGAGATGGAGAGGCTGGGGACTCTGGGAGGGAGAAGGTCTGTGTGTTGACGGCCAGGGGGGCAGGGAAATGTAATCATTTCTTTTCAGTGGGGAGGGAGGGAAGGAGGGAACGAGGGAAGGAAGGAAGGAGGGAGGGAGGGAGGGAGGGGAGGGAGGGAAAGAAGGAAGGAAGCCTATGGGACAGTTCCACTCTATCACATGGTGTCACTATGAGTCAAAAGAGACTTGATGATTTGTAACAACTATTAGTGAGATTTAAAAACCAGAACACTGCAAGCATCTTTGTTTTTAAGTATAAGATGGGGAGTTTGGGGGAAGCATGCAACTAGCCCTCATAGAGAACACCTTTGATTGGGTCTTCAAATTCTATCCATATTCAAAGTAAACGAGTCAGTGGAGTTGTGTTTCTGCCACGGCAGTGTGAGGCCACCATAGCTTACCTTTCCCACTGATTACAACTCAAAACTCTTAGGAAAATATTAGAGGGAAACAACCCTTCCCAAGGACTGTGAAGAGTAAACAAAAGCAGATGGCCTATGCAAGTGGGTGAGCTCCTATTATTTTTCTCTTTTCAAACTGCTTTGTCCTGAGGGCAGTTCCAGCTGCAGAAAGAGCAGAGGCAGTGCAAAATCCCAAAGAAATATGTCTTTCTGGCCAAAGGACTCACGAAAAGTTGACCCTTGGAAATGAAGAGAGTAGGGGAAATCCAAGAGGGGGTCTTTCTTGTTAACTGCCATTGAGCTGGCTCCCACTCATAGTGAACCTGTATAGGGTTTTCAAGAAGCATCTGGTGAGCTTGAATCACTGACCTTGTGGTTGAAAGTGACCTTGCAGTCCAGTGCTTTATCCCATAGTGCCACACCAGGGGTGGAGCTAGAGAAAAGGAACTCCTAATTTTGTGCATATTGAAACCTCACAAGTCAGGCTAATTGCTGAGTCAAGCATGCAAGGTACAGATGCAAATCAACCTTGTTGTTAGTTGCGCCTTGTTAGTTGTTGGCTGACTGCTGGTGACCCCAGGTACAACAGAACGCAGCGGTTTTCCGGGCTCGTCCCATCTTCATAAGTCCATTACTTTGTTTCGTTTCACTTTTTATTGTGAATTGAGTGAAGGTTAACAGACAAGATCATCAGTTTTATCTTCAAGAAATCACTGTTTCATCTGATTGTTCGAATCCATTGTGGTCACTACATACTTGGAGTACCTTCCTATAGGAAGCTCATCTTCCAGCACCACATCAGACACTGTATGTTGTGATCCAGAGGGCTTTCATTAGCTAATTTTCTGAAGCAGATCACCAGGCCTTTCTTCCTAGTATGTCTGGAGGCTCTACTTAAATATACCATGGGTAACCCTGCTGGTTATTTGAAATGTCGGTGGCATAGCTCCCAGCATCATAGCAACACACAAGCCACCATAGCAAAAACAGACAGATGAGTGTTAGTGTAAAGACTTTGAGAACTGAACATAAACATGAACTACAGTGTGCACCATCTACTCTTGAAGTCAGTAAAGAGGGTGCTGGTCCTTTAAGCAAGGGGCTTAGCCTTTTAGTCACTTGGGATCAAGGACTTGGTCCTTGGTAGGATTTGGAATTGAGACTCTCTCCCATAATGCTGGGATTCTGAAGAATTACATTCTCAGTCAGACTGGACCAGGATAAAAATCACTGGCTGGCCCGGATAAGAAAAAATGAAACTTGTTTGTCTTGCCCAGAGTTCTGAATGAAGAAAAGGTCTCCCCTGAGAACCTGTAACCACAATCTATCCTCATCTAAGTTTGAGATTTGAATTTATACTACCTCTGTAGTTAGCGATCCCAAGTAGATAAAATACCTTAAGTGGTCCAGCCTAGGAAAATTCCTGAGGCACCTGGCAGATAAAACACTAAACTTTTCTCTGTATGGAAAAACCCTTAAGCAAACCTCAAAGGATTCCTAACACAACACTCTGCTGAAAACAAGCTCACAATACAAAATGAGAAAATACATGAGAAAACTAAAAAGGCAGTGTATATGCAAATGTGTGAACTCTGGGTAACTCTTCATTACTAAGCATTAGAGGTTTTCTAAGCAGGTCAAACTCTTAAGCAGCCTATAAAATCTAGTGCCATTTTCCTCAGTGAAAAAAATACTTGGAATCCCATTAAAAAGAATTGGGGAAGGGTATTCACCATATGAATCCAAATAAAGGAAGCAAAATATGGAATGCATATAGCTAGACAGTTTTTTAAAAGAAAAAGCATACTGATTATATACTTATATGTGCATATAACAGCATATGGAACTATATACATTTATTGCAAAGTAGGATTTGGAGAAGGTAAAAGGATTATTTTAAACACCAGTGGACTGTTTCGTTTTTGTTTTTTCTCTTGACAAGGAACATTTAATTTTTTTAATGAAAGGAAATATATTTTAAAGAACTCTTGTTTGTAAAAGCAGCTATTTTGTCACTGTAAATAATGGACAAAATCTAATCTTCCAAGTACAGTAAAAGTGTTATGGGGAAGTCAAGCAATAGGCTAGGAAGAGGGCAAACCCAGAGCTCTTTGAAAATTCCATTTTTCATGCTTCAAATTAGTTGGATGTTCTGTCACCTAAAATGTAGTTATTAAGAAGCCAATTTTCAGGAAGTGTCCCTTCCAACAATAATGTTCATTGAGAACAACTTGTAAATGATTCAAGAACTGACAGCAGGTCACAGTTGCCTTACACAATAAACTATAGTCAAGCCCCAAAGAGATTAGATCACAGCATTTAAAAAAACAAAAAAAAAAGATGAGCTAGTCCCTTCACATGTGCTTGGCTTAGATTTAGTCAGATAATAAAAGAAACTCTAGCCAATGCAAATGACCGATTGCATATAAAAACATGAATAGCAAAAGACTAACAACTCTACAACATTCAAATTGAATGGCTTGAAATGCCTTGCTAAAAAGGATGCCTTTATAAACCACAGGGAAATAATTTACTATGTTGTTATTAAGTGCCATCAAGTTGGTTCCAACCCATAGCAACCTACAGAGGGTTTCTGAGGAGCAACTGGTGGGGTTTGAACCGCAGACCTTGAGGTTCAAACTAACCTTGCAATCCAGAACATTAAGATTCTAACAAATTCCATGTACAACTTTAATTGGAACCTGGTTGGGCGAGATGATGCTATTTTTTAGTTTTTAATTCACTTTAAAAATAGTAAGCAGTGTATGGGTGGTGGGGAGAGTACCATTATATGACTATCTCTGAGTCCTGGTATGGCACTGTAAGAGAAATACTGCACTGATAACTACAAGGTCACCGGTTCAAACCCACCAGCCACCAAACCCAAAACAAGGTCATTATGCGTCAGAACCAATTCAACATCACTTTAACAGCATGACCTATAAAACCAGCAATACAGTTTCACATAGGAGTTAAAAACAAAGTAGCAAAATGTTAGCAGATGTTGAATCTAATTGGTGGCTTTAGAAGCGTTTATTGTACTATCCTTTCAACTTTGGTCCGAAACTTTTTGTGCTGTTTTGGGAAAATTCCTTCAGGAATGTTTTTCTTAGAAGACATCCATCAAACTTAACCTAAATTGTAAAGATTTACCTTAACTATTCTTTCAAAAAACTGACTGACTTACTCACCATCATTTCAAGAGCTGATTACTGCAAATAACATTCTAATGCTAGAGCAGGCCTAATGTAAACTCCACAAATAACACTAATAATCACCGCAAGATTTTTAAGTGTTAACATCTGGTTTTATACCCAAATAACAAACTTAGCAGCAGTAAAACAAATTGTTTATTACAGTATATAATGTGTTATATTAAATTTACAGAATGATATATAAAAACAAATACTGCTTATATCATACAGGAATTTAACATCAAAAGGAATAGCAAAACAAATACTACTCATGCACAAAACATGCATATATTGGTATTTTTATAAAAGCGATTTTACACAATACTGTATCCAAATAGAATATTAAAAAAAAAAAAAAATTCCTTCCAGACAGGCTCAGTGACCCAATCTAGACTGGATTGCACTAATATGTTCAGGCCAAAGCTTAGATGGTTACGGGCTCAGCGCGCAATTCTGAGCTTGGAATCACACCCAAGAACCAAATTTTTTGTCTCAAAGGCAGTCCTCCCTCCAAAGGAGCAATGGTTGGATCTGCTACAAATTAGGGGAAGGGCAAAAGGTTTCCAATGTTAGGTAAATTGGTCCTAGAATGGGACACCAGGGCCTAGGCACCAAGTGTGGCAAAAGTTTTTAGTGATTCCTTTGAAAGTCTCACCAGCTTCCGCACCACAGTCACTGCTTTAGGTCTACAAGCTATGAGCCCAGCCAACAGAACCGTTCTGAGAATGGAGAACCATCTGAAACATGTCATCTCTATGAAAAATTCTAGAAAACAATGAGTACCGCTCTAACCTATGCCACACAGTTGCGTGTGATGTGCCCTAACAGGAAAATAATGCTCTAACAACCTAGGGAGAACAAATTGTTGTTGTTGTTGTTGTTATGTGCCGTCGAGTCGGTTCCGACCCATAGCGACCCTGTACAGGACAGAACAAATGGAAGTTCTCAAATTCCATCCAACTGACCTTGAGATCAAAAGGTCTCACCCTAATGAAACCCAGAGAAAACATCAAAATCTGTACCTTGACAGATGCTCAGGAAATGTACGAAACAAAGCAGCTGACACCACAAAATCCATTCAATTCACCACCATTACAAGCACCATAATTTCACTTCTAACTATCACAACATTCTTTACCTTCCATGACAGACACTAGTGCCCAGTACACCATGAAAAAGTGACATAATTTACCTTGATTTCATATTTAAAAAAAAACATTCCATGAAAGTTGTACACAAAAACACCATCATTTTTCTCTAACTAGAAAAAGAAGAAAAATGAAAATCCACTTTCTGCCCCAATGATTTTATTCAAACCGTGGTCATCAGTTTCAAAGAGCCCGACCTAAAGCGGAGGATCTTCTTCTTGAGGTTATGCGAAGCCTTAATCTTGACAAAGGTCTTAGTGGGGTGGCTGTGAAGGTCTGGGGCTGTGACCGTTTGAAGAGGGAGAGTCTGCACGAACTGGGACCAGATGAAGCCCCCACTTTCTTCAGAGTCACTGGTGGTCGTGCTCTCCCCCACCAACTCCCCCTCGCTCACGCTCGACTCACTGTCCCCAAAGCAGTTGGTGGTGTAATTGCTCTGCTCGTCCTCACTGGTGTCCACCACGGTGGAGTGGAACAGGGACTCGCACTCGGCCGAGTACTCGGAGTCGCTAGCCACGTAGGCGTAGGGACTGGAGTACGGCAGGGGGACAGGTGCTGCGTACACACCCATGTTCTCCCGGCGATGTCTCCGGGCTCTCCTCAGAGCTTCCTCGTAAGAAATCTCCGCTGACGACTTCCACCGCCGATAATCGGTTCGCTTGTGCTTAGGTTTGGCCACCACCGCATCCCGACCATGATGATCATGGGCCCTGCTCCCGGCCCGGTGGGTGCCCCCTAGAGCTCGGCTGGGCAGACCCGCCTCGGCCTGGGCATGGCTGCTCTTCCTCCCCTTGGAAGAAGCCTTCTTGAGTTTCTTATTTGTATCCAGGTCCTCCGGGAAGCGGCACTTCCGGCTGGCAGCCCGGCTTCTCTCTCTCACTGTAGGCAACAGGCTGTGCTCCACCCCGTGCAGGGCCTGGCCTCGGTGGCGCAGGCTGGCGGATTTGGGGACACCCGCATTCTTGGGGCCTCGATGGAGCCTGATGCTGGGCTGCGGCAGCGGTGGCTGCGCGGGAATGAACTGAGCGCTGACCAGATGCCCTTCCTCCAGGCTTTGGGAAGAAGAGCCCTCGCTTTTGATGTCCAAGGCAGGCCTCTCCTCCACTGGGAGTGCGGAGGGCAGAAGTGTGGGCACAGGCGCAGCAGCGGTCGCAGGAAGCACCTGCAGGCTGTTCTTCTGTGACAGCTTTTTCCCTGGCGGAGGTGGAGGCGGCGGGACCGGGACAGGAACAGGGACTCGCCCAGGGCTCTCTTTCGGAGAGGCCGCTGAGATCGGATCGCTGCTTTCTAATTTAGGGGACTCCCCTACCCCAGCAGGAGCCCCCCGAACATCTTCTTGAGGGTATGTTTTGACGTTTTTGTTAAGTTCAGTGGCAGCACTTGGTGCGCAGCCCTCCGGTGGGGACAACTTCTTGCTTTCCAGTTCCACTTTGGATTCTTTTGACCACTGCTTCAGTGGGGAGAAGATGCCAGTGTCTAAAGAGAGGAGCCCCCCAGCTGGCAAGCACGCCTGTTTACAGTTCTTAAGGGCCACACTACTGCCCTGGGAGCCACCACCGGTCACTCGGACACACACGCTCCCATTCCTCAGGAGCCCTTTCGAGGGGTCAGCATTCACACTGGTTCGAGGTTGGTTGGTCCTTACAGGGTGTGTCTTTTTCTGGACGAGACTCAGGATGTAGCCATCCATTTTCTTACTGGATGAAGGGTGGGCAGCAGACCACAGGCTACTTGGAGATGGTAAGGAACTGTCCGTTTTGATGGAGTCGTGCTCAGATCCGACGCAAATGTCAGCAGCCTGATGGCCAAGCCTCTCCTCTTCCCTCAGAGGGTTGCCCGTCAGACAAAGAAGAAACATGGGGCTCTGCACGGCCACAGCATGAAGTGGGCTGGGATAGCGATAGACATCGCTCCCATTTTTAGACACCAGATCACACTGGTACTTGGGGTTCACATCTGCAATGACATCAAGGGAGTTAAATTGTGGTGAGCTGGGGGAATGGCAAACTGCCCCAGAGGCCTGGTCTTCACAGTGACCTTCTTTATACTCCAACCATCCTATGAGATCTGAAAAATATTCAAAGGAACACTCTGAAGAAATGAATTGGTGAGCACCATCTTCTCTCTTTGGCCAATTTTTATGAAGACAAATTCATAAGTAGAGAGAAAATGCCAAAAAAGTTAAAATAAATAAATACTCCACAAGCTATATTTTCTACAATTTGGACTTCTAGATGAGAGGGGGAAATAGTATTCCTATAGCTATCTAATTATAGTCCTCTCTTCCTGTTTTCAGATTTCTTTAGATAGGCCAATAGTGCAATAAAAAATGTGATTTGTTTGAACATTCATACACTCCAAGTAGAAGTTAGTACAATCTTCTTGGAGACAAATTTAACTAAATGCTCATAGTTCTACCTAAAGAAATGAGTAAAGATGTGCACAGTTAACTTGGTACATGGATACTTTTCACAATACTCTTTGATACAGTAAAAAAAAAATTTTTAATCAGAAACATTCAAAAAATAAATTTTAACAAAAAGATATCATCTGAAGGAATTTAACCCATCACAAAAGCTTCCAAAATGCATTGAGTAATATGGGGAAATAATTAGAGAAAATCATGATATAAAGTATGATATAGTTTTATTAAGATTGTGTGTATGCAAAGTAAAAAAGTCTGAGATGAAGCACACTAAACTATTAATAGTAGCATCTCAGTTTGGTGGGAAAACTTTACATTCTTCTTCATTTTCTACTTTCTAAACATTCAACAATAAATATGTACTGCATTTATATCTAGAAAGAGTGTTTTTACAGTCATTCTTTCTCAAGTCTACTTTCTCCTTCCTTTGTGTTCTAGTCCCGGTTTTCCTTTACAGTACTTCAAATAAACTGTGGCTTTCTCCTCATTTTGGCCTCCTGGTATGGCACTGAAGGATCAACACTGGACTGGTAACTTCAAAGTTGGCGGTTCAAATCCACCAGCTGCTCCTTAAAAATCCTATATAGGGTCGCTCTGAGTAGCAACCAACTTGACAGCAGTTAACAACAACTGCTCATTTTGTATTTTTTAATACCTGGTTCTTTTAATGACATATGTTCAGATATAACTGCCAATTGGAAAGATCAGAAAAATGTACTCATTGATCAACTTTTAATAGAAACTTATCAAAAAAAATAATAATAAACACCTATGTTTTTAAATTATAATACTTAAAGCACAGTTGTTTTTCAATAGGAAAAATAATTCTTAGTAAGGTTTTAAAAGATTAAGTAGTAATATCAATGGGTAAATTTCACACCATCTCAAAAGTGAAGATGTCAAACTACGATGAAATCAAGCTTTCTTAAATAAATGATTTTGAGGTCTTGTTCTGATGAATATTACAAAACTAAAAAAATCCTTTAATAATTCAATTATCAGAGAAAATTAAAGTTGATGAACTTAATTTGTCCTCCATTATATTTATTTATTCAAACAGTGAGAAATGTGAAAGACTGTATGTTTAGGATTTATCCACAGCAAGATTTCTGCCATACTCCTTTAGAGTAATAAAAATAACAAGACCATGAAAACCAAGTATATATGCACATTTACTGTGGCTCTAGTCACCTGTGATAATGAGGTTTCAAAATATATTCTTTACCCTAAAATAAAAACAAGTCTTTCATTTCTTCCAAAATGTTAAATGTTTAATTTAAAAGAATGCTCCATGAACTTTAATGATGATAAGCAGTCTAGGCCCAGAGATGATATGGTTCATTGGTAAAGAAAAGATTATTATAAAATGTCATGACCCACCCTCCCCTCCCAATAAACAGCTTGGTCTAAGAAGCAGAATAAATACGTCCTAGCTAGCTAATACGCTTCCCCATCCACCACCATAACTCCTATCTGTGTCTTAAAGTCCCATTTCTCTACATTTCACCTTGGGCCCTTTCCCCTGCTTCAAAGTTAAAGAACAAACCCTGCCTCTGAGATCCAGCCCAGCTATCTCAATTATGTGAGGATGTGGCATTTCCCTCAGGCTTTTCTGGCATTTGGGAGAGAGTGAGGGTCTGTCTTCAAGGAAAACTGTACCAAACTACCTTTAATGAGTTTATAGTTTCCTTCTGAAACCAGATCTGCAGAATGAGGGGGCACAGTTATCCAATGAACTTGAGGTCCAGGCACTACTTATCAATACCTGTGCTTCCCTCCCAAATGATTGATGCTGATGATACACACTATATAAAGACACCCACCAATTAGCAACACTCAGCTGCGCTCTATTATGGCTGCATTGCCTGGACTCAAAACTTCAGCCAGGTGGAAAAAACAAGACAAGCTGGGGATGTGGTGACTTAGGCCAGCATCTCTAATTTCTCTTCTTCCAAGGAAGGACACTAAGGAAGAATCCCGGAGTTTCAACACCAAATCTGCCATTCAGCAGATGGGGAACCTCTGACAAAGCTCATCCATCAGCTACAATTCTTCCTGTTAGGTGAGGAGTCTGAACACAATGATTTCTGACACAGTGGGAAAACATGGACCTGACAATTTAGGCCTAAACTTGAACCCTACTTACTCTCACTCGAGCCCACCTTAGCTAACCGTGCTGAGACTAATTTTTCTTATACAGAAAAGGGATCTAACAACACCTGCATCTTGCAGAACTGTAGTTGAGGATTCAGAGGAGATTAAACACAGGCAGAGCATTGTGGCATATAGTAGAAATACAGAAACCTTCCAATACCAACAGTAGCATGACTCCCTCTGGGCTATTTCTTGCAATGGGGGGCCATTGTTAAGGACAGGCCAGAAAGGGGAACAATAGCACGTGAGGCCAGCAAGATCCCAACCAAACCACCTACAAAATAAACAGAAAGTGTCCAGAAACTCTTGGCGAGGCTGACAGGCTGACTTAACTTGCTGGTGGGTTTTAGCTTTAAGTGATTAAGAAGAAAGAAAACACATCCAAAGTGTTTTTCCAAAGAAAATGAAAACCAAACTAAACAGCAAGACTCAGAAACAGAACTCAAGACCAATAATATTGGAACAAGATTTCCAAAGATAAGCCCACAGGAACATAAAGCCAAGTGGCACTTGGACTTTAAGTGCAACTATGGTATTAAATAATGAGCCCTGGTAGCATAGTGGGTTATGTATTAGTCAGCTAACCAAAAGGTCAGCAATTCAAATCCACCAGCCACTCTGTTGGTAAAAGATGAGGGTTTCTGTTCCTGTAAAGATTCACAACTTTGGGAACCCTACATAGGGTCTCTGTAAGTCTGAACCAACTTGGCCAACACTTAACAACAACATTCAAGTTCTAAAGGAGCCTTGATAGCATAGTGGGTTACATATTGGACTGCTGACCACAAGGATAGCAGTTCAAATCCACCAGCTGCTCCCTGGGAAAAAAGATAAGGTTTTCTGTTCTCTTAAAGATTTACAGCCTCCAAAACCCTATACAGAGTCACTGTGAGTCAGAACTGACTCCATAGCACACCACCATCACAGTACTACATGCAGCAAAAAGGTGAAACTCTCTGAGCCTTTGTTTTTCCATCTGTCAAAAGGGATGGAGAACCTCTAAGAACCTCTGACCTTTTCCTAGTTAAATTTCTATCAATTCTAAAAATTCTTACCTGTAGATTTGGGGCAGCCATCTGAGATTGTCAAGGTTGCCTCCAAGGGACTGCAAAAGCAGGTACTAGAATGACAACTGGATAAACATTCACTGAAGACCGAGTTAGAAGAATTGGAAAGGGACCCTGAAGCCCCATCACTCAGCTCATAAAAACCTACAAACAAAAACACCACTTGGAATTAAGATCAAACAATACTACATATTTGCGCTTAAAAGAAAACGGAGTAATCACCTAGGAAAGGGAATCTTTCTCGTGTGGAAGGGGCCAACTTTTGGCTCACTGAAATCAGTGTCCCGATGTTACGGTAGTATTTCAGATTTTAGGAAAAGGCATGTTTTTCAAAAACAACTATGCTCTAAAGTTACTCTCTCAAGTTGATCTTCCTCCCATCCTTTAAGGATGTGCAAGGAAAGAAACCTCAACTTTATCATGAATGTTTCAGAAAGAATAACTTTAAGAGAAAGGCAAATCTATTTAAAGAACCAAATGGTTTTAAAAAAAACTTTTGAAGTGGTCTCAGGAAGCTAAAGTGTGACTAATTTTCTAGCCCAGTTCTGACTTTCTCAAGTTTCAAAGGAGGACCTATCTTCTGAAATTTGGGGGGGGGGATTTATTTTTAAACTCTGAAATAAAGTTTAAAATATACATCTTACTTTGATTTCATGGGGCATCTCTTACCTTGGAGCCCAAAAATTAAAGCCTGGCCCGAAACTGTAAAACTATTAACTTTTTTATTTCACCAGGAACTGCTAAACTACTGCATTGTCAATTTGTCTTTTCTGGCTTAAAAAGGGTAGTTAATAACAAACCCATTACCTAGTGATTTAATGATAAAGACTGTAGGCACCCTTAATTTTAATTTCAAGAGATTTCATAACTACAAAGAGGTGATGACCAAGTATTTTAATGCTAAATCAATAACCATTAAGTACTTTGCCACCATAGAAACGTATTTATTAAACAATACTCAAGATTTGTGCAAATGAATACCCCCTCCCCCCAGTCCACAGACCAGCTAGTAACTTGATGCCAAGTGATCTAAGTAAAAAAGGCATGGTTCAATCTATCATGTTAAGATTAGCCAATGGTTGATTTTCTACCCTCCTCTTTCCTCTTCTCTTAGAATGCTCCATAGAGAGAGAGAGAAAAAAAAAAAAAAGGCTCCCCCCCCTTTTAGAATTAGAAAGATCTTCCTACATGTAGAATAACTACCTGAATAAGCCCTATATTTTAATATCTTATGTTTTGATTGTTTTTTTTAACAAAACTCAGGTAACACAAATGAGATCAATCTCATTATTAAAAATTTTGTGGCCTGACTTTACTTCTCTCAGGCAACTCGGATAGCACTGGCCGGACAGAATGCCCCCCCACCACCATAGCACTGGAAGCTGACTCCATTGTCATTTGCAGGTTTGGAAATGTGAACCATGGGGAGTCAAAGTATGGTCAAAGAGAGCTGAATTCAGTAGGGTGTTAAGTACTCACCTGAGCTAGGCCGACTGTCTGTCTCCGGTTGCTCTTCAGATGTCTTTTCTACATCCAGTCTTAGGTCACTTATCTGCTTATCAAGTTCTTGTAACTGGTTCAACAAACCAGCATCTCTTCGCCTCAAACAATTCTGATTAGGAGGAAACAGAAAGGAAGAATGGGCACACTTTAGTAACAAAGCAGTAGAAAATCTGCTCTAAGTATCTAAAAAGTTCACTAAATCTTCCACAACCGAACTTTTACTGAAATAAAGGCAAACTTCAAGAATATGCCCTATGTTTCATTCTACTTTTTCACATTTTGTCACGATATAAAGTATTTTCATAAAAAACAAAGCTTGCTTTTAGCATCAAAATACAACAGGGGACTTATAAATTTATATATCATATAAAAATGGAATCAAAAGATAACATAAACTTTGCACAAACTTTTTGAAGGCCCCTCATACAAATACTTTTTATAGGTGGTTGTTAAGTGCCATCCAGTCAGTTTCAACTTATAAAATAAGGTAGGGACAAGAAAAATACATTGAGATTTTTTTTTTTTTTTAATTCTCTGGTGTCCAGTTTTGAAAACAACAACAACAAACAATACTTCACAGTTTATTCTTCAATTTGAAGTTAGAGTAACAGATTTCCTACAATACACTATAATCTTACTTAGAGGTGTGATTTTCTGGCCAAATGTCTCAGCCTGCACAGTTTGTTTTCTATTAGTTGCTTTGTGAGGTTTAATCGGTTTTGGGGCCTTTGAAAGTTGGAAACTAATACTAATAACCAGTGCCAAGTATAATGTGAGCTGGCAGAATCCAAAACCCTCAAGGGAAGGCCCATCAAGATTTGAACTCAGCTCGGATTTCCAAAGGTGACAGATACGTTGTGCAAACTCACACCGCCATCTAGTGCTTCCTATGGCTGGAAAAGCAAAAGAAATCAAAAGGCATCTGGTTCAAATCACAAATGCTAAGTCTACAAATGGAAATAGTACCAAAAATATTGACTGGACTGGAATGCTCTTAACACACCACCTCTCTCCCCCACTCCCCCCCAGTGGACAATAAGGAATACACAGCTCATGATCTTGAGATTCAGGAAGACAAAAACAAAAACGTGCTATTGCACAAGACAATGCATAAAAAATGTAAGCGACCAGGCATAACCAGAGAAAGAAACTGTCTCGAATGTTACCAATCTGGTCTGCTACCAAAGAAACTTACTAAAATACCAAAACAGAGGTATTCACAGAATCTATGGTGCCCTGTTTTACAAAACAGACTCATGTGAATAAGCTATTTCTCCTGTTTGGTCCTCTCCTCTGCTTGGAGACAGAAACCATATGCTTGTTGACTAAAATAAGTTTCTTCTGAAAAATGAGCCAAATAAGTAAAAGCACTTTGATGCTTAGAAAAAAGAAATTATCTGGAAAAAAAAAATCACAAAAAATATGTAATGGCATAGATGACTACCCCATTGTAAGTGAAATCCTATCAAGCATGTGTCCAGTCTCAGATAGTTTCCAACCGTCAGGTGAGGGTTTTTTTTGCTGTTTTCAAAACTACATTTTGAAGTCATTGGAACAAAGCTGCCGCCATTAGTGTAAGGCGGGGTCAAAAAGCTGTTCATCAATACATTAAGCTCCAAAGTTCTTTTTCTTCCCCGTTAATGAAGACAGCAGAGAATGACTGAGACGCTGACAGAAATCCAGTTAAGATAAATGCTGCGTGAGAGCAGGTTCGCTCTTCTGCCACCTCCCCCACCAATCACAGCCAGCAGTTCAGATAAAATAGGTGGGGAGGGAGCACTTTCCCCAGCCAAATTTCCATCATTTGTATTTACTTATCGTCTCCTTATACAAAGGGTTTCTATTTAAAATTAAGCACTAGCCAGGGGGAAAGCTGGCACTCTGGGGAGACCGTGGGAGGGGCACGCCTTCCCAAGGGCGCTAGATTTCAGTGTAATCGTCAAAATTCGGCGTTGGACAGTTAGCCACGCCACAAAGCCCCCTCTCTTTGGCTTTTGTCCCCTATCGGCGGGAGGCGATGAAGCTAAGACCTCAAATGAAACGATATTTTAAGTGACCGTGTAAGGGAACCTTCAAGGAGAAGGCAGGTATTCATCTAACTAGGGAGATGGACTCTGAGAATTCCGAAGAAGAAGGGAGGGTGGGTCACCCCTCCTCGCAATCCGCGCTGGGTCTCCGATTCCTCACCTGCTCAGACACAAAGCCGGCACACGCAGGACGCGCGTGGATGTGGGCAGCCCACGCGCACTGAGCAACTCCGGAATCGGAGTCAAGGAGGCACAGGCAGCTGGTAACGACGTGAATTTTCCCAGCCAGAGGGAACCTCGCGCCCACCGTGAGTCACCTGCCCAGACCTCCAGCTCTGCTGCGGGGACAGCCGTGCCCACCCCGGGCACAACCTACCAATTGCTTCCGCAGCAGCAAAATGTTCTCCAAGAACTTCTCCTC